CCAGTTTGGCTTTGAGAGTTTTGATGGGGTGGGGCAGGCAATGGAATGGGGCTGGGGATGTGAACCCAGACCACATTAGACACAATGCAGTGTTTACTATTAGACTGTGCTATGTGTATGGTAGAATAAAAAGTGAACTCTGTGAATTAAGTACTACAGTTATATATGAATGAACTGACACTATGAGATATTAATATGAGGGGGACTTACCCAAATCACACAGCTAGAATTCTTGAACTATCTGAAGACAAGGTATTTTCAAGTATTTCCATAGCAATCATGAACCACAAAAACAAACCCACTACTAACTAGTCAAATGGGTCTTACAGCACCCCACAGGACAGGGAGGAATTATTCCTTAGGGTTTCCAGGCTGTATATCTTTATGAAAGCAGAGAGCCTTGTCTTTCTCCAGCTGAGCAGCTACTGAGCTTGAACTGCCAACTTGGCTGTTTGCAGTCTGATTCATAATTCACACCACCACCAGGGCTCCTTATAGCAATATTAGGGACCTAATGACTATAAACCTATTATAACACAGTCTTTGTTGTTGTTACATGACCTTTGGTCTTACATTAATTTTTAAAAAGCAGCAGCAGCAAGCATTATTTGTACAAGGTGCCTAGTGGCACAGTGAATTATGTGTTTGGCTGCTAACCATAAGGTCAGCAGTTCAAACCCTCCACTCATGCTGCAAGAGAAAGATGAGGTTCTCTGCTCCAGAAGAGACGTATAGCCCCTGAAATCCTATATAGGGTCACTATGAGAGCTGACTCCATAGCAGTATGACCTGTATACCAAGCCATATTCTGCTTCTATAAGACTATGACAGGACCCAGAAAGGAGTCAGTATTGCTAACTCATAAAATCAGACTGCACGCATGGGAGAACACACAAGGGACCATTAACATATAGGACAACTGTATAGTTTCCTGTCAAACAAGGACAATCTGGAGTGTGGAAAGGGGTACTATAAATCATCGTATAGGAAAACCAACATAGCCTGGAACTGGGGAAGGATGATCAACAATGCCAACGGATGCAACCACGCACCGCATCTGCTTGAAACGAAGAGGAAAGCGAACCTGGAACTATTTTACCAAGCAAAGCACGGAGCACGAATGTGTACCATGCCCACACTGGTTGGATATTTGGTTCACTAGCTTTCTATTTTAATGATCAAACCAGCACTTAGGGCTTGTACACATTTTCCTGTGACCTCAGTTCCTTTCCACTCTATTGCTGTACTGTTTTCCCCTCACCCCTATTAAAAGAGAGGTTTCAAAGTCTTCTGTTAGGTGTTCTCTTTTCACCGAGATTTTCTGAAACGTAATACTCTTGGTTGGGGAAGGAGTGCTGTAGACCATTTGAGTTTACAGTGCATTTTAATTCTTTATTATATTTCATTTGCTTGATAAATATTCTATTGGGGAGAGACTGCTATCCACATTTTACAAACGCAAAAGCTTAAGGCTCAGAGGAGTATGATGAGGATCAAACAACTGCGGGGGCTGGACCACAGGACTGGAGATCTAGTGAAGCTATTCCGCAAGGCCACGTTTCATCCATAAACACTTTCTCCTCTAGCCTGGTTTTCCCATGGGGCATAATTTGTGCAGCTTTATTATGAGCATCCGTTTTCTAAAAAATCTGAATTTCCTAACAGAAAAATAGGTAATTATGTGCACTACAAAGGATTTCACATTTAAGAGAAAAGATCAGCACAGATTTGTAATTTAAAAGTGTCTATTTTTCCTCATAACAGTATGACCACTTACTAAAAAATGTGACGAACTACAACTTTTCAGGAACACATTCATTTTATAAAGTTCAAATAAAAAAATTGTTAACTATTTCCATATTATCTCATTCGATTTCCATTTTCTCTCATAGAGTGTTTAAGGCCATTTGTACTTTTATACTAGCTGACAAGTTGGCAGTTCAAACTCACCCAGTGCCACTGGAAAAAAGATCTGTTTCTGTAAGATAACAGTCAAGAAAACCCTATAGGGTAGTTCTACTGTGTAACATGGGCTGCCACAAGTCAGAACCGATTCAATGGCAGAGAGTTTGGTTGCAATTTTATTATGCCAAGTGCTATTTTAAAGTTTTGGGAAGATAGCAGAAAACAAGACAGAAATCCTGACTTTGCGGAGCTTCGATTCTAGGAGGTAAACATATAGCATGATATCTACCTACTGATATACAGAATATACAATGAGTACAGTAGAAGTTGGTAAATACGGAGCGAATACCCAGAACAACGGTGATAAGCACTAGAGCACGGGGAAACAAAGCGTGGGAGACAGAGTTTATACAGGATGTCAAAAAAGGTCTCAATGCTTGTTAGACATCTGAAGCATCAAGAATTTAGAGTTCAATGAGAAGCCAGGTTTGAGAAATGCATTTGAGAATTGTCAGCATATAGATGGAACTTTAAGTCGTGAGCGAGGATGAGGGCCCCAAGAAAGTGAAAAGAGGGAAGATAAGAACCAAACAAGGAGTCCTTGGGTTGGAAAACTGTTAGACTGAGAAAATATGGTGTAAGTTACAGACAAGAAGCAAACAGTGAGCAGAGAGGAGAATCAAAAGAGCTGTAAGTAATATCCTGAAAGTAAGCGTAAAAAGTTTTAGGGAAGGAATAATCAATTCTGTCAAATTCTGTTGACAGCTGATGAAGAAGAGGTATACTGGTTGATTCTTAGGTTTAGTGAAGTAGATGTGGTAGACTGTATAAAATGACTACAAATTTCAAGAGGCTGCCCTCCCTTTGAATGTTTGGACTTGACCATGGGAATGAGTCTAGCCAAACATAACATGCATATGCTTGAAAAGCGCTTGTGCCTTGGGTTGTGCCCTCAATTGGTACTAAGAACTCTGTCACCATCATATCAATGAGCATCATAGGCATGAAATATGATGGAGACGACACTGTCCCTACTGTTATTGAACCAGACACCAGACACATCCTAGTCAAGCTGGCCCATGCCTGAACTGACATTTGAGCCACTGGAATTATGAGGAAATGAAATCAGTTGTGATTTTAAGCCATTAAATTTTGGGGGTAGTTATCAGCAAGAGAAAACTAATAAAATGTAGGATATTAGGCACAAACAAAAAATATTTTTCAATAGAATGCAAAGGACAGATAACTGATTGTACCTGAAGTGAGAGGAACGGAAATGATGGAACACAGGCCTCTCTGGCTGATAGCTGCTGAACTTCAGAGACTCTCCTTTCTAACAAGTCCATTTCCTCAACCAGGAAGCTACCTGGTTTAACACTACTGACTAGTTGGTCTCCCTTCTTCCAATGTCCCTCTGGATGTAGTACATCGTAGCAAGACACTTCTACAAGAACACTTCTGTTGGTGCATCCAGTCAAGCCCAAACCAAGGAAATCTCTTCACAGGATGGTCAAAGGATGTATACTCTGCTGCTTCATTACTAACAGTTTTACCTGTAAAATTACTTTCATATTTACACCATCTGTTATGAGCACATGGTGCACAATTCCTTACAGAGCACCTCACTGCCATCAGATAAACCCTGACCTGCTCATTACCTCTCATCTCCCAAGTAGCTCAATAATTATTATAAAATCAAAGTTAATTCTCTACCTGAACAAGAACTATAATCACTTATAAGTGCACTTGTAAAAATTTCCAAACAAAAATGGATAAATTTGAGTGCATTATAAAATGAAATACTAAAAGATAAAAAAAAGAACCTTTGAAACGCCTCACAACATGGATGAATGTGAAAGATATTATGCAGAGTGAAATTAGTCAAACGCAAAGGATAAATGTTTTGAGACCACTACTGTAAAAAGTCAAGGATAGGTTTTCACACTAAAGGAAACATTCTTTATTGGTTACTGGGGTGGGAGTGGGAGAAAGAAAGGAAAGTTAAGGACTGGAGGTAAACAAGTAATTAACTTAGATGAAGGGGAAGACAATACAGAATAAGATGGAGGTTAGAAGGGAAAAAAAAGGAGGTTTGCAAGAGTTCTAGGTAACAGAGGCAAATACTAGTATATACAGAACCTTGCAGCGCTGGTGATCCAGAATAGATGCTTAGAAAGACATGAAGGCTGAACGGGTGGGAGAGAGTGTGGGAGTCAATCCATGAATACACATAGGTTTAATAGAAGATATTTGTATATGTACATGTGTTTTTGCTGCAAATGTATTTATGAATGTGGCAGAATAGAGTTATAAAAATTTCCTAGATGGAACCAAATACCTTGAGGGAACGAGTCACTGGGCCTAGGGCATCAGCACCACAGTCTCAGGGGACCCCCAAGTCCAGTGACATAACACAGTTCACAAAGACAGTGTTCTACATCCTATGTTGATGAGTGGAAACTGGGGTCTTGAAAGCTCATGAGCCGCCATCTGAGGCATCTATAGGTCTCTCCCAATCCAGAGGAAAGAAGGGTGACAAAAATCAAAAGATACATGGAAGCAATTGGTCCAGTGGACTAATGGGCCAGGCAAAACATCACTCCCCACAAAGTGAGAGCAGAAGTAAATGGTACCCAGCTGTCACTATTAATTGTTCTGAAAAAGATCACATTAGAACGTCCTGGGAAGAGTGGGAGACAAATATGGAAAACAACTCAAAACCTAAAAGAGAGCAGGTTACGGTGACCAGATAGACAGAAAGGAAGGAGCCGCGGCAATGACCCTTAGTCATCTTTCAAGTCTGGAAATGAACCCGCCCTGTGGTATGATCGTCAACTATTTAAGATGAAAAGGGCAACACTACCCAATAATAAAGTTCAGCGGGTAATAAAAGGGGAAATGGAAACCGGAAGCACAGGGAGGAAGGGGGATAAGCAATTGCACATTGAGGGGACTGTAATGGATGAGCTTAATCAGAATGTGCTAAGAATTGGTGAATGCAAAACTCTGGATCTGCTCTGTAAACCATCACTCAATGCACAATATAAAGTTAAAAAATCCAAGTAACTGTTAATAGTATCAAGTAAATCACTTACTTGGCAATGCGCAGCTTTCCAACTTCGCCTCTTCCAGGGGCTTTTGCCCATTGCTGAGACAAGTATTTAGGAACCTAGGGCAAAGTAAAAGTCTCATAAGACTACGTTTTTGATACTAACAAACCTTTTAAAACACAAAGGACACACAGCTTTTCTTTTATATTTCCACTTTCAGTAATTAATCAGTAATATCAATTCCCTTTCAAATTTTCTACTTAAAAAAAGGATACAAAGATGTGCAAGGAATTATTTTAGCTTTCAAAGAGCTTAAAGTCAATCTAGTTGAGGAAATAAAACTAACAATGATCAATTAATCTAACAACAATGAAGTGCTAACGTATGTTCCTAAATAATTCCAATAAAAGTTCAAAGAAGAAAAAGGCCACTAAAAAGGTTTCTCAGGAAAAGGTGATGCTCTTGATTAATGGGATGACATTATTCAGACACAGCACTGAGTTTAAGATGATTTCAGAAGTTCTAATAAAACTTCTGGAAAAATTTCATACATAATAGTAGAAAATCGTAACTCTAATAGACTATAGACATCTATACTTTTCTGACACTGTTTTAAGCACTTTGTTCAAATTAAAATATTTAATCCTCACATGTCTACAAGAACCCAAGCCCATTGGCATCCAGTTGATCCTGATTTAGAGTGACCCTATAGGGCCGAGTGGACTTGTGCCTCGGGTTTTGTGGGTATAAATCTTCACAGGAGCAGACAGTCTCAACGTTCTCCCAGGACCCCTTCTATCCGAGGGAGGCAGTTCATCACTCTTGCTCTCTAGATGATGAAGCTGAGGCAGCTCTTTACCCAAGATTTGGGTGAGTAAATGAGATCTGAACATAGACAGTTTTTCCAGGATATGTGCTCTCCCCCACCATACCAGATTGTATCTGCAATTGAATACATACTTGAAGAGTTTCAATTCTCAAAGAAAGAGATCATACAGAACCCCTACTATGTGCACTCCCTCTGAATTGGAGGAAGGTTTATTAACCACCTGTGATATGCAGATGGCACAACCCTCCTTGCTGAAAGCTAAGAACACTTGAACCGCTGGTGAAAATCAAGAGCTGCAGCCTTCAGTATGCATGGCATCAAAAAGGAAAGAAAACAAAAGTCCTCACAACTAGACCAATAGATCACATCATGATAAACACAGAAAAGAGCAGCACTGTTCATTTTACTCGGCTCCACAAGGAACACTCATGGACGCAGCAGTTGAGAAATCAAATGACACACTGCAATTGGCAAACCTGCTACCCAAGCCCTATTTAATTCAAGTGTTAAAGAGTGAGGATGCCACTTTAAGGACTAAGGTGTGCCAGACCAAACCCAAGTATTGCCTCATGTGCATCTAAAAGCCAGACACTAATAAGGGAGACTGGAGAAGAACTGATACATTTGAATTATGGTATTGGTGAAGAATACTGAAAGTACCATGGAATGACAAACAGATAAAGCATAGAATTACAGTCCGAATTACATCAGGCTGGAAGAACATCAGAGAAAAAGAGGAAGACCTTCTGACAAAATGAGCTCAAAGAATGAGTCAGATCTTACTCGACAACACCTGACAACAACTACATGGCTTACCTCATTTCTTCTAAAAAGTAGTTTGCACTCTGATATCAATGCATTACCTATAAATCAGCTTACTCTGAGGAATAAGTGAGACATGTCCAAGGGGCCTCAAAATGTTGGTGGAAAAACAGAATTAAAAGGTCATAGAATGTTCCCACAAAGTAATGCCTGAAGCACAATGCCTTACACAAAGCAAGCTCTCCAGGAGCATCAAATGCCATTAATACTTACCAAGGTAACCCTGAAGTAACAGCAAGGATATGTAACTTTGTCACTGAGAGCCATCTCATTTGCTATTAACTATCCAATACCCACTTCCTTTGTGTGGTAGCTGGATGATTTCATATCAACTAGACACTCCTGGGGAGGGGTGGAGTAACACCTGTCAATCAAATGATAGCTTGAGGATATCTCCTTGGGTGTGTTGGCCTTTTATAGGAGAGTGAGGGACTCTGCCCCCCCCACCTCCCTCCTGCCTACTGGAACTCTATCTGCCTCTAGGGATGGCCCCATGTGGACCATCCACCCCTAGAGCTGCTGGTGCCCTGCCCTGTTTCCACCAACCTGTACCCTTCCACACGACCTTGTACCCACTGGCTTGTGATCTTCTACTTCCTGGTTTGCCATTTCATGTCAATGGCATGTGGCTCCATGGGTCTGAAGGACTTTTGAACTAGCACCAGATTTATGGACTTAAGTTAAAAGGATTATTTCTTGTAAGAAGTACAGCTGGAGTGCTCCTTGGAGGCAAGGATGGAGAGACTTGTCTTACATACTTCGGACATGTTGGCAGGAGAGACCAGCCCCTGGAGAAGGACATCATGCTTGGTAGAGGGGCGGCCAAGCTGATCCTCAAGGAGATGGCTTGACACCACAGCTGCAACAATGGGCTCAGGCACAGGAACAACACGTGGATGGCACAAGACTATACAGTGCTTCATTCTGTTATACATCGGGTCGCTATGGGTTGGAACTAACTCAGTGGCACTTAACAAGGGCTAAAGGAGGGCCTTCAACAGGATGGGCTGACGCAGTGGCTGCAACAATGGGCTCAAGCATAAGAATTGTAAGGGTGGTGCAGGACTGGGTTGTGTTTCATTCTGCTGTACTTAGGATCGCTATGAGTCAGAACCAACCGGATGGCACCGAACAAGGACTCAAATTAAGACCCTGGATGGCACAAAAAGTTAAGTGCTCAGCTACTAATACTAACCACAAGGCCAGCAGTTGAAACCCACTCAAAGACATCTCAGACGGAAAGCTACCTGCTCTGCTTCAGAAAGGTTCCAGCCATGAAAACCCAGTGGAGCAAAGTTCTATTCTGACACAGATGGCAGAGCCGGGAGTCAGAAGCAGCTCCACGACAACTGCTCTGGGCACTTACCGTTAGGGTATCAAATGATGTCCCCCTTTACCATAATTTTCTCTTCTCCCACCCCACCCCCATGTTTCTTTGGTAGGTTTTGCCTTTATGTAACAAAATGGCCAAAGCCCTCAGCAAAGATTTTATTATTTTCATGCGCCCTTCTTTGGCCCTCTGACTACTCAGAAAAATAAGACACTTGCAGTATCTGCCTGTGCCCAGCCCTCCACCGCCACAAGCTTGAGCCAGCGGCAGTCAACAGTGACTAATAAGGAGGGGCTGGGGAGGAGTGGCAGAAAATGCCTAAAGTAAAAATGGAGGGCACGGTTACAGTACCACAAAAGTGGATCCTGCTGTCAAATTAGCAGATATAAAAAACATTATCTGTCACAACTCAATATAATATCTAACAATGATCTCTACAAATAGTTATAACATCTTATCTTTAAATCCTTGGCCTATGAAATTTTCACCTCAAGTCCGGAATCTGGAAATCTTGCGTATTACCATGTTAGCTTTTCTTCTTGCTATATGTTTGATTTTTGACTCCAGGGTTATGTTACCTGCTTTATCACAAAGGAAAGAATGTCTCAACCGATGCATTCAATCAATCAATAGCAAATGAAATACCCTAATAAAGTCACCCTAATAAAGTGCCTACAAAAAAGATGATCTGTTCTTCATTATATTCCACTGTCCTGGTTCAGATAAGACTATTTTTAGAGGCCCTACTAACACAGCGGTTCTCAACCTGTGGTCACGACCCCTTTGGGGGGGGGTGTCGAACAACCCTTTCACAGGGGTCACCCGATTCATAGCAGTAGCAAAATGACAGTTATGAAGTAGCAATGAAAATAATTTCATAGTTGGGGGGGGGGGTTTCACTACAACATAAAGAACTGTATTAAAGGGTCACGGCATGAGGAAGGTTGAGAACCACTGCCCCGAACACCTCATTACTGGCAAGTTTCTCTTCCATGGTACATACCTGAAGCAACCACTCCGACAAGCAGCTCTAACTTGCACTCCAACATTCTGCAATCCCTCTAATTCACTGACCCCAATTACCCCCCTTCCTGTGTCACACATCAGCTCATGTCCTCACTACTACCATTAATGGACCTAGTCCACCATTATAATTATTCCCCTGTCCCTCATCTTCTATTACGCTAGCCTGGCAAAACCTTAATCTCAATTAAAGCCAATCTACACTGATTATTATCATTTACTAATGTATTATCTTATTGTGCTACTATTTTTATTGTGCCATAGACCGCCATCATGTAAAGGCTATAAATCTTTACAGGAGTAAAAGGCCTTATCTCTCTCCCTCAGAAAGGCTAGTAGTTTCAAACTGCTGACCATGCAGTTAGCCACCCAAAGCATAACCACTCCATCACCTGGGTTCACTATTGTGCCATTAGTATTATCATGTATTTCTTTTATTATGTTATTCTTCTCCTCCACCTGAGCAGTTAAAAAAATCATTATCCTGCTCCGGGCCTCACTTCAAATACATAGCTACATTCCTCTGGGAGGCCCCTCATGATGCCTTTCCCTCAAGTCATGCTTGGAGTTGTTAACCATGAGGAGGCATGGTGACATACTGGTAAAAGCTGGGCTGCGATCTGCATGGTTGGCAGTTCCAGACCCCAGCAGCTGTGAAAGAGAAAGCAGAGCTTTCTACTCCCATAAACAGTGACAGACTTGGAAACCCACAGGGGCTCGCTATGAGTGAGCACTGACTTGCTGGCAGAGAGAGACCGCAAGGTCCGCTGTTGGAAACCACCAGATGGGAGAAAGATGAGGCTTCTACTATGATCATGAATTAGTCTCACAAACCCACAGCGACAGTACTATCCTGCCCTATGGGGTCACTACGATGCAGTGAGCTCCCCTCAGTTCAGGCCCCAACTCCAAACGACTCACAAATTCTCTTCACTCTTCACACCTGAGGCAGTTCTAGTGTCATACAGGGTTGCTGTGAGTCAGAATCAATGGCACACAACAAGCAACAGATAATTACTAAGTGCCGGGGCCCCTTCCAGTACACTCAGTCGGGTATACCTGTAAGGATTAACCCATTTAATCCTCACATTCTATTATATTGTAAGGAAACTGAG